TTATTTTTTTACATTCGAATCCGGAAAATATGATTAGAAAATTACATTTTATCACCTGAAATTTTTTCCCTTACATTATGATACCTAAACCGTTTCAAATTTACAAACAGATCCTCTCCTTGCGACATTCTTTATAAACTTGTGGCATGCATTGTTGGGTAGGGGTGTCAGTCGGTCGGTTTCGGTTTAACCGAAAACCGAATTCTCGGTTATCGGTTAAACCGAGCGACCACCCCCGGCTACCGACCACCGACCGTGGGAGATACAGCGGTTAGCCGACCACCGACCGGTCGGTTAGCCCCAAGCCCGAAAACCACACACTAATATAAAAAAATAAAAAAAAATCCAAAAAACCTCCCACCACTCATTGTTTATCTCCTCAATCCTTCTCTCTCCTTAAACTTTTTCGGTTCAAACCCTCCACCACGATTATCTCCTCTGTCTCTCTCCTCCATCTTTCTATCTCCTTTCTTTTTCCACTCAAGAAACAGCCGAGAAGGAGGGCTTGCCGCCGACGGGAGAGGGACGAGCGACCTCGCGAAGCCGGCGGAGGGAGACGGCGTTCGCGCGGCGGGTGGAGGCTGCCTGCTTGCTTGCATGTCGTGACGGTTGGAGGCGGAGGAGACGGTGGGGTGACGTCGACGATGGTGGAGGCGGCGGTGGTCATGAGTCGGAGGGAGAAGGAGGGCGGCGGTGGTCACTTTTTCTTCTTTCTTCTTTCTTCTTCTTCTGGGTTTTTGGTTTTAGATTCCCAGTCTTTATGCGAGTGACCATGGGGTGGGCGGAGCTTGTCGAGTTGGTGACGGTGAGTGGGCGAGGTGAAGTGGTGAATCTGGGTCGGGAAGGAAGGGGACGACGGGGAGGGAGAGGAGTTGGGGATCGAGGAGAGGAAGAATTAGGAGGGGACGACGGGGAGGCTAAGGGTTGGGCTGTAATTGATTTGAATTTTTCTAGGGATTGGATAAGGGTTGGGCTGTAGTTGGGGGAATGGTGAGTGATGAGGATGAGGTTGGGCCGTTGGGGTAATAGGAGAGGGAGTGGGGTTCTGATGGGTTACAGGAGAAGTGGGTCGTGTGGGCCTGGGAGTGGGAGGAAGAGGCTCGGTTATCGGCTAACCGCCGGTTTCCGACCTCGGTTGGTCGGCTAGCCGAGCCTTCTCCCCTCGCTACCGACAACCGACCGAATGTAATTAAGGACGGTTTACGGTTAGCCGAAAACCGGTCGATTCGGTCAAAACTGACCGGTTAGTCGCTAACCGGAAAACCGATTGCCAGCCCTATTGTTGGGTAGCCTTGAACATTATCATATGGGCCATGAGCCCAGAGATACAGCCGGGAGGCCTGCCATCCCAACATAAAGGTTTGGCCCCAATCCACAATAACATGTGCCATAAGCCCATAACATACGGGTAGGGCTGGGAAACGGTGCGGTCTGGTCCAGACCAGAACATATACACGGTTTGTGGTCCAGACCGAGAGGGTAGAACAGAAACCATGGACCAGACCATAACCTATACGGTCCAGACCAGACCACGCCTGTGCGGTGCGGTCCGGTACGGTCTGGACCGAGTAGACCATATTCAACAAAACCTGTATTATCCAATATTGTTAAATATCAACATAACACCAACAATTTCAAGTCTACAACCCAACATAACATGAGATTAATAATCAACAACATAACATAACCTTGAATACAATGCAAAATCAAAGTTTTAGGAAATGTAGGCTGTATGATTTGAATGGCAGAGCACGACAAACCCTACTTCCTTTTACCCCATGTTTCGGCACAACAAACAACCCTATATCCCATGTTTCTAGCTTCAAGCAACAACTAACAAACTATAACACTACTGCCAACGAGCCATCTGCCAACATTACCATTGAGAACAAAGACAGGGGAAGCTGGTCGTGAATGGGGGATTCTCGGTTGCAGGGGCCAGTTGGCAATGGCAGAGTCGAGAGGGTCGAGGTTGATGGCGGAGGTCGATGGTGGTGGAGGAGTTCGATGGTGGAAGTCGTGTGAGTTGCGACGGAGCTGCTGGATGGCTGAAGGCGAGGCAACGAAGATGGTGGAGGTCGACGGCTGAAGGAAACAACGACAACGAACTGGTAGGTTTTCCTTCTCGCCTCTCCCAGCCTTGTAGACTTTCAGCGTCCAGCGTGATTAGGAATGACCGATGGGAAGCACGCAGCAGCCAAGTGAGAGAAGAAATTGGGCTTGGCCCATTGAAATATGGAGGTTTGGAGCTGCCTAGTTGGGCTAGCCCATACTTAATTTTGGTCACGGTCTGGACGGTTAACCACGGTCTAGACCAGACCAAACCGTTCCAGACCGCAAGTGAAAGAGGGAAACCATGGACCAGACCAAATTGTATTCATGGTCTAACGGTCCGGACCAAACCGTACGGTACGGTCTAAACCGCGGTTTGTCATACGGTTTGGTCTAAATTCCCAGCCCTCCCTGCATACGGGGATTGAATTTTCCGAATATGTTTTACAAAATCTCAGCTAACAATATACAATTTTTATATCTTTGCAAAGAAAATCTCCAGCTCGGTTTTATCTTCTCCTTTCTTCAACAGTTTACTCATCAAATGCAAGTGAACCAGCGCATGCATTTACCATGAGATCTCACTTATCAAAGTTTTGTGGTGTGGTAAGGTTATGAAATGCTTTATATGTTTTTTTGGTATGATTTATGAATTTTGTGATGTTCTGAATTTCTGGTATGCTTTTTAAATTTTTTGGCATTTCTTATGATGTGTTTTGATTATGAACAAAGTATATATAGTCAGCCCAAGAAAGCAATTTCATAAATCACGGGTCAAAGTAGAAAGTTTGAATATAGTTTGAACCAAAATAAGATATTAACCCATATATATATATGGGTCAGACTAGTGTACGTCAGGCGTATACTATACATTAGGTACTACTAGTGATATATTTCTATCTAGACCATGAATTAAATCGAGTTTGGGGTATGATACTATACCCTAACCTCTAATGGATAAACCCCAGGCTCCGATTTTCTAAATCCCAACCCGAAGTTTGATTTAATGAAAAAACAAAAATTGACCGTTGAGATCGGCTGGAGCTCATCTAAGTTCATCTAACGGCTAGATCACTTGACGTATAGTATACGCCTGACTACACCAGTCATCACCATATATATATATATATATATATGGTTCAGGCTAGCGTACGCCCGGGCGTACGCTAACCTAGCGTACGCCCCATTGAGTTTTGCTATTTAGACAAAGAATTAATCGGAGTTTGGGGCATGATACTATACCCTAACCTCTAATAGGTGAACCCCAGTCCCTAATTTTCTAACCCAAACCATGAGGTTCGTTTAATCTTAAAATGAAAACCAATGAAAATTTCAACAAATCAGAATCGTTGATTTTTATTTTTAAGATTAAACGAATCTCATGCTTTGGGTTAGTGAATTGGGGACTGGGATTCACCCATTAGGGGTTAGGGTATAGTATCATGTCCCAAACTCCGATTAATTCTTTGTCTAAATAGAAAAACTCAATGGGGCGAACGATAGGCTAGCGTACACCCGGACGTACGCTAGCATTTGCCACACACACATATATATTTGTTTGATAAGGATTTTTTCTCAATCAATGAGGAATTCTTGCCTTGAAACCTAGGTTTCAAAACTATTCACCATTTCCAACATTAATGGTTATGGACACTTCTAAATTCAACTTGCAAAGGTAAACGCTAATCACCATTTTCAAAGCTATAGACGATTTCCAACATTAATTACTATGCACACTTCTAAATTCAACTTGCAGAGGTAAACATTTTCACGTAAACATTCCACATGTCGCGCGCAGGCCAAAGTAATTCTAATTAACCTAGCATAAGATAAAGTCATACGATGAAGACTAGCCATAAGCTGCTGCTGCTCCAAGTGGCGGGATATGGAGATGTACTTTGTTAAAAAAAAGGCGCCAACATGGATTAGTAGTAAACAATACATTTCTACGTTACTTAATACAACCCTAACTTTGAAGAAATGACAATTTTGATATGAAAGTTTCATCTTTATTAAGTTTGACTGTTAGTGCCTTAGTGGTTAGTAATCAAAATGTTGATAAACAATGTGTCATTCACATAGACGCCACGTTAACAAATTAAATATTGATTATGTAAGAAAACCATATGGAGGTGAATTTTGCGGTGCATAACTACTATGAGTAACCCACTCAACTATAATCTTTCTCATGAGCATTCATTTCTTTCTTATAGAAAGTCTTTAATCTTTTCTCATTTACTTTTTAGCGGATGATTTCTCTCTCGTTTTAATTTAGAATTTAAATTTTTTTATACAGATAAATCAGATTAAATGTATTTTTCGAAATGATATTCATTTTGATATATTTTTGGGAAAAAAATTGAGGCATCTTTTACCCGTCTATACTATGGTGGTATTGATTGATATTCAAATAAAAGCATACGATATGGTATGAAAGTGTATCATGGTGGTATAAATGTATCAAAACTATAGGATGGTTGAATACATGTAGGAGTATACTAACTATCATTAACGACTTTCAATATTGTATACCACAAGATATCACCCCCTCATACCAGGGTGGTATTGTGTGGTATTTTTTGGTTTTGTACTTTTTTCGCCCTGAATTTTGTAGATTCAATAGATTATGATGAACTCGTGTTTTCTGCGCAAAAATTTTCAAAAACGACTTAAAACCGAAGGAGATACCATATGGTATGGAAACGACAGATATTTATTTTTTTCTCACAAAATATTGAAAATTGATCTCATTTTGTATAGCACAACAAACTCGTTCCATTTGTGGAAAAAATTGAAATCTAAATTAAAATAAAAGATAAGAACCAATTAAAAAGCTAGAAAAAATAAAATATCTTTAAATCTTCTTAAAAAAAGCCCTTGTAAGTATAAATCCATACTCTTTGGCGCTAATTATATATCCTGACCTACCGGCCACAAGCTTAACAAAAATGGAGAAGACCACTCTGCCAACCACTGCAATCAATCTTCTTCAATTCCTCCTTCCGCTAATAACTTCCCTCTCCCCGACCTACACCAACGTAATCCACCTTGGCTGCTCCAACAGGTGCGGGGGCGTCGCCGTTCCGTACCCTTTCGCGATCGGGGATCCCAAATGCGCATTCTCCGACGCCTTCCTCCTCAATTGCAGCAGCAGTACTACTAGTTCCTCCGCCGCCGCTCCGCCTCAACTTCTCCTCGGCAACATCCCCGTCACCAACATCTCCGTCGAGGAAGGCACCTTCTCCGTCGTCTTTCCCGCCGCCTACAGCTGCTACGGCCGGACCGGTTCTCCGATGAAGGACTCCCGTGTAAGACGACCGCATGTCAATCTTGGGAGCAGACGACCCTTCCGATTCTCCGACGTCCACAACAAACTCACGGCATTCGGGTGCGGCGCCCAGGCCCTCATAACCAACGAGGACGGCGGCTCCGGCTGCGTCTCCGTGTGCGGCACTGCCTCGAGTTTGCCGGTGGTCTGCCCCGGAATCGGGTGCTGCCAGAGCCCGATTCCCCAGGGGCTGAAGACGATAGAGTTCGCAACGTCGAGCACTTCCAACCATAGCGGCCGGGTTTCGGGGTCGTCGAATCCTTGCTCTTACGCCTATCTGGCGGACGACAGGTTTTCCGACTTCGGCGGCGTGAACCTGGCGGAGTTTCCCGAACGGAACCCGGGAAATTCGATCGCGGCGATCGAGTGGGTGGTCGAGGAGAAGACATGCGAGGCGGCGATGTGGAATTCGAGCACTTTCCCTTGCCGCAAGGACTCGGATTGCGTTTACTCCAAGAATGGAAATGGTTACAGGTGCTCGTGCAAGCCTGGGTTCAGAGGAAACCCTTACTTTGGTTGCCAAGGTAAAAAATTGACTTTGACTTCTTCCAGAATATAATAAAAAATATATATATAAATTATTATTAAATAATTGTAATTAAAATTATTAATGTCCAAATATTTCATTCATAATATGATAATAATAAAGAAATAATATCATTGTTTTCATAAACAACCACGCCGCGTTTATCAAACCAGAGAAGGGCCTGAAGCAGGGCGATCCTTTGTCGCCTTTTTTCTTCAACTTGATTATGGATGTCTTGTCCCTGATGATTCATGAGATCAGTAGCGCCGGTTTCATCAAGGGTTTCTGTATGAACGAAGAATCCGGAAGAGGGGAGGTCACGCACTTACTATATGCAGATGACGCCATTATTTTTTGCGACGCGACTGAAGAGGAAGTCAGGAGTATCCTTGCAGCGTTAATCTGCTTCCAAAGCGTCACTGGTCTTAAGGTGAATGTGACCAAAAGTTGTATTTATCCGGTGGGGGACGTGGAGAACATCGACAGGCTTGCTCAGATTCTAGGTTGTCAGTGGGCCTACCTCCCTACCATTTATCTCGGCCTACCACTTGGAGATTCCCCGACGGCTTCTAGAACCTGGAATCATGTGATCTCAAGGTTGCAAGTGAAGCTGGAAGGTTGGAAAGCGAGGTTCCTGTCCATCGGTGGGAGAATAGTCCTTTGTAATTCCGTCCTATCAAGTCAACCCATTTTCCGTTGCTCGCTTTTCTCAGCTCCAAAGAAGGTGATTCAGACAATCGAAAGGATGCAGCGCCAGTTTATTTGGGAAGGAAACTGTGGTCAGCGGAAATTGCATCTCGTTGCTTGGGATAGGTGCTTGGCGCCTAAAAAGTGGGGCGGTATGGGAATCATGGACCTTAATTTGCAGAACAAGGCGCTGATTTGCAAATGGTTATGGAGGTTTACCCAAGAACAGGATAGTTGGTGGAAGAACCTGATTACGGAGAAGTTTTCGGACAGCGGGACCAAATGGATGAGTGGTGGTATTCCGGGACCTGTTGGATGTAGCGTCTGGAGCCAAATAATAAAAGAAAAGGCTGTATTTTGGAAGTTTGCACAGGTCAAACCGGGTTCAGGTGCAGATACTTCGTTCTGGTTGGACTACTGGCAAGGTGATCGATCTCTCGCTGAGGAGTTTCCACGAATGGCCGCTGCCGCTGTTTCCCCCCATGCTTCGATTTGCGACCTGGTCCGAGTCTCCAATGAGAGTGTGCATTGGGATATATCCTTTACAACTTCTTTTAGAGGGGGGGCTGAGAGGGAAAGGGAGAGATTTTTTGATATTCTTAACTCTGTACCGTCATCTGTTTTCTCCACAGGTTCAGACTCGGTGATTTGGCAGGCGGGCGATAAATTCAGCGTGCGTTCCTTGTATAGCTGCCTTGTGAAAGAGAAATATGTGCAACCTGAAAACTACCCGCATAGATTCATTTGGCAAGCGTGGATTCCGTCCAAGGTCTGCACCTTCCTTTGGATCCTTCATCAGCAGAAGATCCTCACACATGATTCCCTGAAGAAAAGAGGATGGAGTTTCCCCAGCAGGTGTGTCTTGTGCGCATCGAGCGAAGAAGACGCGAACCATCTGTTCCTACATTGCAGCTTTTCGGCCAGAGTTTGGACCATCATTGGCGCCTTCGTTCATTCTTCCAGAGGTTCGGGGAGCATAACTCAGGTCATCAACGACTGGCCGCGTAGGAAGCCGGAGAATCCCAAGGAGTGGTGCAGCTTGACCCTTCTTCACTCTTTGTGTTGGTGTCTGTGGAAGGAAAGAAATAGCAGGATTTTTGACGGGGCGGCTAATACCGAATATGGAATTGCGTTCAGGATCGGTAGTCTCATTGCGCAGTGGTTATCGGTCGCTGGAAAGGTGGATAAAGAAGCTGCTGAGGATTGGCTTCGCACTGTTAGGAGCAGAACCATTGGCGGTGCCCGAAACTTGAGGGCGCCCGGGACTGCTACGCCTTAGCCTTTTTTGTTTCAGGCTGTGCTGGGAACTTCTTTCTTTTCTCTTGTTCCTCGTTTTCGGCCCTTCTGCCCAGGTTTCGCTTTGGATAGGGCGCTGGCCCTGTTTGCTGGCCTGCATGTTTTGGCCTATTGGTGTTTCCTTCTCCCGTTCCGTTCTGTTCTATTTCTTCTGCTATCTTTGTACTTTCCTTTTCTTAATTAATGGATGTCAACACTATCAAAAAAAAAAAAAAAAAAAACACAAAATACATTCGTTGTTTACACACTTGATTAAGTCTTTTTCAATGTACCCAACTAACCAATCATTACCAAACTGGTCACTAATTCGAATTTAAAGCTTGATCTTGATATAGTTCTTTCTACACTTAGAGTTTGCAACAGGTAGGGTAAAAACTAGTTTCAAGAGCAAATAAATTGAGGGATATGGCCGATTCACTTTTGTCTTTCAACATTACTTGAGATAAGCGAGGAATTCTTTTATCTTATATTTTAAGCAAGAATTAACTTGTAGTGTAGTTGTAGAATACTCTTATATCACTTAGAGATCATGGGCTCAATCCTTGATTTATACACATGTGAGGGTAACTCCAAAAATTACCGTGACACCTCCTAAACCCCCTGCCTCCGACTATGCCCACCTTGCTGGGATTACCTCCCGTGGATCAAGGCATGGATATTACTTCCGCCTTGTACTATGACTGTCTTCGCCAGTTTTACTTTGATTTCTCTTAATAATTAATTGTATTTCTCCTATTTTTACTCATATTTTAACTTAATAATACTTTAGATAAGACTTCATCTTTCAACTCATTTTACTCAATTAGACTACCTGTTATCTCCGCCTTCCATTTATGAACTATTTTACTTTTGTTTTATTGTTAAAGTTAAAAATTTCTTCTGAGTTATATAAAAATTTAGGTCGACCTGCTACGAACCGCACCCATACGTAAATTACCCGGTCCGACGCCCTTGTTACGGGGCCAAATCATTGATAACTCCAAAATCTACCCGTTTGAACACTCAGATAAGATTTAGAATAGTCGCTTCCACTTTGCAGAAGAAGAATCAATCTCAATGAAGTGTTTTTCTGGCACCTCTGTTCTGCTCCGCCTTATTGTCATCGCTACTCTGATCATCATGGTTTTGTATATAACTACTAATCGTGTTCGGTTTTTTTTTTATTGTCTACGTATACAATGTTGGTTGATCACAGACATTAATGAATGCGCTGAGCCAGAAAAATACCCATGCCGTGGAAGGTGCAAGAACACACAAGGGAGCTACTCTTGTAGTTGTCCATTTTGGATGCGTGGTGATGGCAAAGATTCTTGCCAAAGTCTCTTAAGTGTTAAGGACACTATTGCAGGTAATGAAGAGCAATTCACTATTTAATGATCGAGATGATTTACTCAGAAATTGGGACCCTAAAAGGGTGTTCTTCTGTATGCGCATTTAATTTGCTCGATCGATGTTTTTGAGGATGCTTAATTAATCAGTCCTTTTTGTTAAACATATAAAAACCTCACGTGAGTTTTTCACTCTCTTTTTCATCTCAGTTTGTGGAGGCATCATCTCCTTCTTCACAATCGTTCTTCTTGCCTTCATCCTCCACAGACGGAGAGAGAGGGAGAAGAACTTCCTACTGAACGGTGAGATGCTATTAGAACACCAAAGAGTGAGAATCTTCAAGGAATCCGAGCTCTCCAAGGCCACCAAAAACTATGACGCCTCCCACTTCCTCGGCAAAGGAGGATTCGGCCACGTCTACAAAGGAATCCTCCCCGACAACACCCTCGTCGCAATCAAGAAACCCAACGGCTCCCTCGACCAGGCTCAGACCATCAACCAAGAGTTCCAGCACGAGATCGCCATCGTTTCGCAGGTCAACCACATCAACGTGGTCAAGGTGCTGGGACTCTGCCTCGAGACCAAGCTCCCGCTCTTGGTCTACGAGTTCATCCCCAACGGCACCCTCTTTGACCACATTCACAGACAGAGATCTAGTATAATGTCTACATGGCAAAACCGGCTGAGGATCGCGGCGGAGATTGCTCAAGCGCTCGATTACTTGCACTCGCTGGCGAACCCGCCAATCATCCACGGAGATATCAAGTCAACCAACATTCTCCTCGACGAGGGTTTCAGGGCCAAAGTTGCTGATTTTGGCGCATCTGTCCTAATCTATCCCGACCAGGCAACCGCCATGGTTAATAAGATCCAGGGCACGTTGGGTTATCTCGACCCCGAGTATCTGGTGACGGGTAATCTCACTCCGATGAGCGATGTCTACAGCTTTGGAGTGGTCATGGTCGAGCTTCTGACAGGGGAGAAGCCTTACGCTGGGAACTTGGCGAGGACAGGGGAAACTGTTAACTTGATTCAATATTTTTTGACCTCGACGGAGAATATGAATTTGGGGAGGATTATAAATTTTGCGGTAGTTCGAGAAGCGGAGATGGACGAGATTGAGGCATTTGCTGAGGTGGCGCGGCGGTGCTTGAGTTTCAGCGGGAGGAAGCGGCCCACGATGAACGAGGTGGCGGAGGAGCTTGGACGGTTGAGGAAGTTGAATGAGTGTTCCTGCGGTGGTGAGTCTTGTATGTCGCCTTTGACTGGGATTTCTGAAGGTCGGGTAGGGACGACAGAGGAGCAGCCTCCGGCGAGCATTGGTACTTTGGACATGGAGTCATATGAGATCGGCCGATGATGAAAGTATGGAATTAGAACCCACTATATATTTTTTTTTAGTGAAGATAGAACCCAATTTATGATTATGAGGAATTTTACCATACTTTAAAAAGTGAACATCCTTGTAAGTAGCGGGGTCCGGAGAATGAATAGGAAATGTGATTTCACTATACTTCTGTCCAGGAATATAACCTATTCTGGTGATTTTGTTTTTGCTTTTATAGTAAAATTTGAAGTTGTATCTTTAATGTTACGGTACAACTATAGGTTGTACCTATACTCTTTTATATATACGTCTTTATGGTACAAAACTAAAGTTGTTCCTTTATGTCATGGTACAACAACTTGAAGTTGTACCTTCGTAAAATTCTAACTATTCTGAGACCTGAGTATGATAGTGAAAAATCTCATTGTTATTATGCGTCCGTATTTACCATATAGATCAATCACATTAAAAAAAATTTAATCAACCATAACTGTTATGAAATATCCAGATGTATACATCGATACAAATGTAATACGCCTTAAATTGAATTCTTATGATCGTAAGATAAGTTTACATTTGATAGACCATTAAGATTTTCTGAATATGGTCCCTCGACGTTAAGGCTGGAAAAATAGATCAGAGTGTTTGAAAACCCGTGGAACAAATCGGACCGCACCTTTTGGTCCAGACCATTGATCATTAATAATCGTCTGGTCCATGGTATAATGTATTATAAGATGTATTGATTTTTTGGTCTGATCTTGTATAGACCGCGATCTACCAGACTAAACCATGAACACCAATCCACTTTCTAGCTCGAGTTAGCAGCTCACTCAACCAGTACTCTCCCAACTCTTCAACGAGATCAAAGTCTCAACACTAATTTTGTGAAATCGCATCCCTATTTCATTGATAAACCACACCCAATCACAAATTAGCGACAATCATATCTCCATATAACATATGATAATATTTAGGATCTTATGGTGCAAGTTGGGTTGCTCTAACTTTGTGTTTTAGTTATTGACTTGGATTTGTAGTATAAATGATTAAATATTATGCATGCATGCTGGAGTTTATGTTTTACAAAAAAAAAAAAAAAAAAATAGATTTTTCTAGTTATAAGTTAAGATATTTTGTGTAGTTGATTAAACGAATTGTTCATTTTCACTCAATAAAACCTAATATGGTCCAGGTCTTACCGGACCAAACTCCCACAAGCATAATTTATATGTGTCGTATTGTATTTTGTATGATCCCTTGTCTACATTCCAACTTTTCGATCTGTACCATAGAACATATGTACGGTCTGGACCACAGTTACCCGGCCCTACTCGACGCCCTCATTTTTACACAATATATCACAAACCAAATTAATTTGCCAATCGACACATTAGTTCGGATGCAATTATGACGACAAAGGAACTTGGCCAAGATACTTGCATAGTACATGAACACGCAAACACCTAATTAATCAAGTCTCTTTGCCACCAATGGCATGATTATTAGTTGCCCTAAAACTCTTGCTAACTAGTTAAATATATCACACATTTGTACACATATGAATACACTAATAGCTAGCTAGTGTGTATGTCTCTACACCAAATCATACATTCCATTACTACTCCAGCAGAAGAAAGAGAAAAAATAATAGATTTAATCGGAAAGGTTAAAAAGGAAGAGAGGTGGCCGTATAAGATTCCTAATTAACATTCTCTCAATAACGTGACTTATTTGAGATAAAATAATTTATGATATGAAATCATAGTTCGTTTGGTCAAGTAGTTATATGTTCTAATCTCTACGATCTCCAATATTTATCATTGATTTAAGCATGCACAAGGTATAATAAGCCTGTGCAAACTTAAAACTCGTGAGTTGACTATGATATAAGATTAATAATTAACTTTCTTTCATCGACCTAAATTACTACGGGACCTAACGATTTATGACAACAAGAGAGACGCACCCCTATTCTTTCTCTTGTTGCCACCAACTGATAACGATTTGAGATCGAAAATTTGTAGTGAGAAAAGTATCTCCTCCTCGCTCCTTTTCTTTCATATATAGCAATACAGTAGCAAACGAAAATCCAGCTATTCTTGTTAAAAGATAACTATAAAAAGAAACCCTATAGCAAAAACGAAAAAGATGAATCCTTCAATCATCACCTGCTCAACTCACATGACTTCTAGATACCGTTGACAGATCGCATCAGCCAGGATTCGAGCCTCGGAAGTGACGAGAAAACATAAAGAAACAATCACATTTTTCCTTCTTGGTAATACAAGGGCTGGCTATTTGGTCCGAGTTATTTGGTTTTACCCAAAATCGGATCGTATAACTCGGATTGGGACTGGATAGTAAACAATCCAATCCAATTTTCGGGCTTATATTTGAGGTAAAAAAATCGTCTGGGACCGGATCGAAAACCGGATAAAGACCGGATAAGAGACCCCAACACTCAAAACTTAATCAACTCCTCACCCTTCGAGTCCTCAGACAACTCAAATTCCCACAAACTCAATCTAAAATCAAGACCGAATTGGGACCGGACCGGATCAAGACCAGATTGTATCCAATACAATCTTTGGTCCTTATATTCCCGAAAAGACCGGACTGAAACCGGATCAATTCGGGCCAATTTAACCGGACCTGACCGTATAGTCACCCTAGATAATAATAATAATAATAATAATAATATATCTCCTTAGACACGTAAATCTCCAAAACTCCATTTGTGACAACCCTCCACACATATCTACACCTATAAAATACCACCCAATTAGATCATCCAAGAGAAGGAAAAAAAAAAGGTAGAAGAACACATATTTATACATCATGGACGCAACGAAAGCAGCAATAATGATATTGCTAGCAGTTGTGCTGTTGCATGCTCAAATGTCAAGCTCACAGCCGCCGCCGGTTGAGCCGCACCCCTATTGCGGGCCATTGGTCGTCGGCGGGGAATGGGGTCAATGCGACCCCGGCAGCTGCTGCAGTGGTTCGGGTTACTACGGTACGGGAAGTGAATATTGTTCCGTGGACTATTGTGTGCTATACTGTCCCTTTTTTCCTTCCTCTCCTGAGGAGGAGGAGGAGGAGGAGACTCGAGGAGGAGGAGGATCGGAGGAGGGGTAGAAGTACTGGCCCGTCGTCTCGATAACGCGACGATCGACCAGTACTACCTGGATCGCAAGATCACCACCGACGACCACGACGATGTTGTTGTTGATCGTCACATCGTGACTGCTGCTGCTACAGTCGCTGCAGCAGCAGCAACAAGCGCTTCTTTATCGTCTTCGTCTGTGACGACCGCGATATCATGTGGTCTTTTCTTATTGTCTCGCATGCCGCTGGCTGCCCGTCGGAGGTATCCTTGGGCGGCTCTCGGAGCCCGTGCTCGTCAAGTGATGGTGCGGGTTGTTCACATACCGAACATCGAGGGGATTGCATTGGACACCAATACGTTCCGTCGATTGGGCGGCGATGATGGTCGTGAAAGCAGAGGTTACAATGATCTTGTGGTGAAGTATCAGTTCGAGAATTGCTGAAAGACTTGTTGTTGTTGCTAGCGTTTTCCTTCTTTCTTTTGATGGAGCGTGGGTTTGATGAAGCTAAAAAAAAAATCAAGACTAATCTATAAATTAAGGAATAAGTGGATGGTTTAAATTTCAAATACACATATAGAGAATTCCGTGACAATAAGTTACCCTAACATAACATATATATGCAATTGGATTTTCCTATCTTTTTACGAAATTTGAATTTCAGTCTCTAGCTCGATTCTTTCTTCTCCTTCCTTCGACAGTTTACTAATCAACTGCAAGCAATGATCACGTTCAATCGCAAGGGAAAAACTTATGCCATTATGGAGTTATTATTCAGACATATACATCCATATACAATTAATGATCAACTCCAAGAAAATTTCTAGTCAGCTCATAATTACGGGTCATTATGGAATATTCAGATATTATATACATCGCGATACAGTGTAATGCACCTTAATTGAATTTCATATGATCATAAAACATTTGTACATTTGATAAACCATTAAGATTTTCTAAATATGGACCCTCGACATTTGAGTTGAGAAAATAGACCAGACCGTAAAAAAAAAAAAAACGTAGACCAAATCATCCCCATTCCATTTTTTTCGGTTCGTGTTAGCAGCTGATCACTCGGCCACCAGTACTCCCAATTAATCTTCAACGAGATCCAAATCTCAACCCTAATTTTGCAAAATCTCATCTCCTCCTTCATTCATCAACCACATTCTACCACAGAGTAGAGATAATCGTGTCTCCATATGACATTATGTCAACATTTATGACCTTATATTGCAAGTGGGTTGCTCTAACTTGTGTTTTTTTTTTTTACTGGGATTTATAGTATCAAAATTATGCATGCGTGTTGCAATTTATTTTTTAAGATGAAAATAGTTTTTTTTTTCTCGGTTCCTGATTAGATATTTCTTGTGACCGACTAAACAAACCGTTCGTGTTTACTCAATATGATTTGTATGGTCTAGACCTTACCGGACCAAACTGCCACGAGTGGGTTGATCTGAACTATTGTATTGTATTTTGTTTGATCCCTTATCTATACTCTAGCTTTCCGGTCTAGACTACATCGCACCATTTTCCGACCCAACTCGAAGTCTTTCATTATTGGACAATATATATGACCAACCACATTAATTTTCCAATCGGCACATTAGTTGGGATGCAATTATGACAAAGAAACCTGGCCGATCGAGATACTTGCATACATGAACTCGCAAACGCCTAATTAAGTAAGTCTCGTTGCCACCAATGGCATGCATATTAGATTATTAGTTACCCTAAAACTCTTGCTAACTAGTTAAATATATCACACATTTGTACACAATATGAATACACTAATAGCTAGCTAATGTATGTCTCTAACTCATACATTCCACATTTTCCACTTCACCCAGAAGAAAAAGGGGGAAATAGATGGATTAGAAATGTTTACAAGGAAGAGAGCGCGGTGGTTTAAGATTTTATAATTGACATTTTTTTCAACAAATCGAGTTATTTGGGACAAAACGGTTTTATGATATGGAATTAAAATTCGTTTAGCCAGGTAGTTGTGTGTTCTAATATTGACAGTTAATTTAAGTACAAGGTATACAATGAGCCCGTGCAAATTTTCGAGCTCATGAGTTGCCTTTCGTTTGTTGAGGATGTGTAAGTGACGAAAAAATAAAAATTCACATTTTTTTTCTTCTTTGTCTGCTAATATACTAATGGCATACAAATTAGATACCCTAAAACTCTAGCTAATTATTAATTACATATTAATTTATCTCATTAGACACGTACATCTCCAAAACTCCATTCGTGACACCCTCCACGAATATCTACACCTATAAAATACCATATTGTGTTTTGTTGTATGATCAACCCATCTCCATTTCCCGTTCTCTATGAAGAGGTTAAGTAGTCTTTCGCCGTCGAATCGTGTGTTGGGCGAACCGAATCTCAATTTTGTATATCCGATTCGATTCAGCGAGCTTGAATAGTATTTCGGTTCGGGTGAACCCAACCGGGCCCACCTCCCCACCTCTAGCCATGCAGAACCGTAAGACTAAAAAAAAAGGGGTTAATTGTATGGTTGGTCACTGAAATTACAAAAAAGGTTCAAGTTTGGTCACTCGAAATATTTAAATCCATTAGTGGTACTCAAGTTTACTGAAACTGTTCACGTTTGGTCACTCTCCGTCCAACTCCGTTAACTTTGACTGATGTGGCAGTCAACTCTCAAAGTTGACCGTTAACTTAGTGACGTGGCAATTAAAAAATAATAAATAAAATAAAATTTAATCTATTTTAATTTCCAACTCATTTTTACCATAAAATAAGTAAATAAATAAATAAATAAAATAATATTATAATTGATACAGATGGGGAGAGGTTCTTCTCCGTCGACTCCCAATCATCCACCTCACCCGGCGGCGCCACCCGCCCTGCGGTCACAGCTCCTCGGGGCTCCGCTGCCGCCACCGCCGGCTCGGGGGACCTTCATCGTCTGTTTCTTCTGCATCGGACGACGGCGTAGGAAGTTCCGGAGGATGAAACCAACAATCAATCATACATGATTCGATTGAAAAAGCAACAAGTATTGAAGAACGAGAATCGAAAGAGTCATACCGCTAGCTGGGTAAACCCCTACACCCACAACTTGTACTTCGTCGTCATTGCCAGTACCAAAACCCCGATCCCGATCAGGCGCGGACCCCCAATCCTTGTCACTAGGAAAACTATTTTTTTCCTACGAGAAATCTCGGCCCTTGATATATAATAGAACAGGGGGATGGGGCAGGCTAAAGGACCGGGTAATGACGGGAGATCTGAAAACCCCAACATTCAAGAAAATCCAATTGAAATTGATAATTCCATGGATTTATCACAAATGACTTGAGTTGACGGCTATGACGACGATCACCGGGTGGGTGCTTTATAGAATATATAGTGAAGAAGGAGAAGAGCAAAGAAGTGATACTTCTTGGTGGAGGAGAAACGAAATGGTGCTGCTGAGAATGAAATAAACCCAAATAGGAAAAGGCTCGTTCCTCTGGGACTTCCTACGCCGCCGTCCGAGGCAAGAGAAACAGACGATGAAGGTCCCCCGAGCCGGCGTCGGCGCATCCCTGCGGTGGCGGCAGCGGAGCCGCGAGGAGTTGTGACCATGGGGCGGGTGGCGCCGCCGGGTGAAGTGGATGACTGGAACTGAGAAGAATCCCTCGCCATATGTATCAATTATAATGTTTTTTTATAGTAAAAATGAGTTGGAAATTAAAATAGATTAAATTTTATTTTATTTATTATTTCTTAATTGCCACATCACTAAGTTAACGGTCAACTATGAGAGTTGACTGCCACATCAGCCAAAGTTAACGGAGCTGGATGGAGAGTGACCAAACGTGAACAGTTTCAGTAAACTTGAGTACCACCAATGGATTTAAATATTTCGAGTGACCAAACTTGAACCTTTTTTATAATTTCAGTGACCAACCATGCAATTAACCCAAAAAAAAAGCCCATAAAAAGTGAGAACCGGGGAAGGCTTTTTCTGTTTCACAGTTTGTTCAAACTTTCTGCTTCACACACACCAGCCCCCATCGCCAGGCCACCGGTGTGTAGCAGTAAATGTAAAGCTTTTCCGCCCAATCCCATAACTCCGAACGCAATCGAAATCCAATCCTCTCCAATTTCCTCTCTGCGCTCTCTCCTCCCACTCAATTCCGCCGTCGACGACGACGACGACGACCGGCGATCTCTCCCCCTCTCTCTCTCTTTGACATGCCGCACCTCGTCCGGGAGAATCTGTTCATCGGCAACATCACCGATGCGGCGGAGGTCCTCCTCCAGAGCGGGACCTCCTCCGACATCAGCCACGTCCTCTCCGTATTGAGCTCCGCCTCCATCTCTTTCTTCACCGAGTGGCGCTCCGGCGTCTCGATCCCGGCCAAGGAGATCAAGAAGGTCTACTTTAACCGCCGGCGAGACGGCCCGGCGGCCGCGGCTGAGGGCGAGGAGGAGGATGGTTCCAAGCTCATGTACTCGCTGGAGTACGCAGGGAAGGAATTGAAGCTGGTGAGGATGGCGGTGCCGATTAGGGATATGGAGAGCGAGGATTTGCTGGATTATTTGGAGCCTTGCTTGGATTTCATTGATCGGAGTCGGAAGGAAGGCTCCGTTCTTGTTCACTGCTTTGCTGGTGTGTCCAGGAGGTAAGTAAACCCCCCCAAGCGCTTGAGCATTTCCTTTTGCTTCGAATTCGGAGGGTTTACTTTGTACATTTATGGTCTTTGTTGCAGTGCAGCTATCATTACAGCGTACTTGATGAGACTTGAACAGCTCACTCTGGAAGGTTAGGACTTATGAGGAATCTCTGTTCTGCTATGGTGGGCTGGGGCAAATACCAGCCTTCCAATTGGTTTCAAATTTTCAATTTCTTGAGCATTTACTGATGGCCGTTTCTGCTTTTTCCCATCATCCTTTTGAGTTCCAACAGATGCTCTTGAATCGCTAAGGGAAAGCTGTGAGTCTGTTTGCCCCAATGATGGCTTTCTAGATCAGGTGATGCAGGACTCTTTGCAACAGACTTATAAACGACTGTGTAGCTTGGTGGTTGTATAATTTTAGTTTCTTCGTTGTTATGAAGAATCAAAATTTTCAGTTTGTTCGTTTTTCTTGATTGCAGTTGAAAATGTTTGAGGACATGGGCTTCAAGGTTGATCATGGGAGTTCCATATACAAGCGCTTCCATGTGAAAGTATTAGGTATGCATTTCCCCTTGATCTCATAGAAACCAACCCACATAAAGGGCTGACAACACACATTAGTTGCAAGGTGCTGATTGATTGGTGTTGTTTTTAGAATGAATTAGGTAGTCATAATAACTTCAACTGTGGCTTAGCAGTTCTCTCTGTGATCTTTGGTTTGGCTAGTCTTATCTAGTTCAGGATCAACTTCAATAGAGATATCAACCATGGGCTTTTGTGGTTGAGAGAGCAAGAGAACCGTCTCTTATTTGTCATAGTGTAGGTATCATACTTTTTAATGAAGCAAGTATGAAGGGATAGGTATTTGCTGAGGCAGAAATCAGTTAAAATAGGAACCTCATACTGCTGGATCGGCATTCAGAAGGTAAGTGCTGCACTGATGGTAGATATGGTCTGAAAACCTCCTCAATTAGTCAATTTAACAGATGATGTTTGAGTTTGCTTTAGTAGGGCCATTGGACACTATCTGTGAGTATTAAATCATCTGAAAACTGAACACACACATATATTTATAAAAAAACTTGAATGCAAATATAAGTTGGATGAGTACCTAATTGACACCTAAGCTTGAGATCAAAGGCCTTTGCTTGTTTCTTTGAACAGTAGTTTATGCTTTCGTGTTGCTTCAACATTGCTAGTGGATATAAAATAACAAGTGAGGACGAGCTTTTGTATTGTATAAGATTCCTAAGTGTCCTGTGCTTCCAGGTGAGTCCTATAACAGGGGAGAGAAGATAGACAGCAATCAGTTTGCTGCGGATCCCAGTATAGCTGTAGAAGTTCAGGCACAGACAGGAGCACCAGTAAATGGAGAAAAAAAGCGCGTACAAGCATATCGTTGCAAAAAGTGCAGAAGGCTAGTTGCATTAGAGGGTAATGTTGTAGGTCATGTTCCGGGAGAGGGCGAGTCATCCTTCTCATGGAACAAGCGAAGAAGTGGCAATCCATTTAGCAAGTCTGATCAAACTGACTGTTCGTCTATCTTTGTTGAGCCTTTACGGTGGATGACAGCAGGTATGCACAATGCTTATTCTCCTAATATCTATTGCCTCCAGCTAACTAGTAGTTTGTGTTCAATGTTTAGAAGCATATGACAAATTAATTGGTTAAGAAGATCTAAATATTGTTTGATCAACAACATATACTTCATATTTCTAAAACCAACAGTACACACCCCATCTTTTGATCTCTATCCAGCTTTAAAACTCGGATTATGCAATGAGGGCATTCTTCAAACTAGTGGCCAAAACTTTTCTGGTGGTCTGATAGTTTTAACTTTAGGGCACTCTTGATGGTGAAATGGTAGTTATGAATGTGGCCACTGTCTCGAGAAGAATTTAAGGCACATGCAACGACTTAGAGATCATCAATAGATAAGTTCAGGTTGTAAGGCATAATAATATAGTTATGTCAGCGGCTTTAAGATCAAGTACTATCTGTTTAATTGCTAGAACATATCAAACTGAGGAACCATAACATTATAGTGTAGGACTTTTCCTTATGTCCTTTTTCTTCCCTTTTCAAGTAAGGATAGTGCTAGTGAGTTATTGTTATACCCTATCCAGATAGCTCCTTATCTCATCTATGCATCGCACAATAGCTTTGTACACATATCTGGAAACTCTTTCAGATAAGTAATGGCCGTACCCCCACCTTTTGTTGTCCAGTTGAGGATGGTGGATTAGAAGGGAAGTTGTCATGTGCGCACTGCGACGCTCGATTAGGCTACTTCAATTGGTCGGGCATACAATGCAGTTGCGGGAGCTGGGTCACCCCTGCTTTTCAGCTCCAGAAAGGCCGAGTCGACATCAGTAGTGTCTAATGCCTGCAGATTCCATTCCATATTCTGCTCTATCTATGAGGAGAAAAAAGAAAACCTTTTTGACAGTGGACAAAGATCAGAATTCCCCTCTCACTGGCGCAAGAGACCATGGAACTTCTGAAGCCTGGTTTCTTTTTCAAGCTTGCTGCTTTCTTCCAGGCCGGTTGACGCCGCGAATGCTCTGGAGCTGGAGATAACATACGTGTATGTACATATACGTGGAGTTTCAAAACCATGGTTAGCATTTGGTCTTTTAGCCTAATTAGCTGCATACAGAAGCTTCAAAGTGTTCATGTATTGTGGGGGAGAAAAAGACTGCTAGATTGTTTTGCCTGGCACTTGGGCAAAGGCTGCAGCTACGCAGGCCTGTGTTGGCCTCTTCGACATGACGATATCCCATGAACAAACTTGTGTAATAATTTGTTTGACAGCGGAAGAAAGTTCGTTTTTTTTTACCTTTGCTTGACGCTTAAGTGCTTGCTTTCGAGGGTCGACTACTTGTGCGCAATCACGTGTTGATATTGTTGAATCAGTCTTCCTATCGAATTTTCTATGATAAAACCGGTCCGATTTCAATAGAATATCTATACGGATTGAGACTGACGTATTCTTATTTTATCTAAGGCGATAAATGGGCTAAGTTTTGACCTCATTTGGGTTTGGTTTGTTAATAAACGAGTCGAGTTCGAACTCGACTTGTTTACTAAAATTTTGGTTTGTGTTTTACTCGAGCTCAACTCATTAATGATTTCACGAGCTCTAGTCACGTTTGACTCATCAATTAGCTCGCGAGATCGGCTTAAGCTAAGGTTAATCATTTAGTTCATAATTTTAAATATTCATATCATGTTATTTATTTGTAATTAGTATCTGAGCAATTTATAACACATAAGTTCTCATTTAAATTATAAATGACACATATTTAATAATGTACTCAAATTCTTAAACGTGATGAGATATATAATCTAATAAATTTATGAATTATCAACCAGCCGATGATAAACTATTAATCAATTCTCTTGTAAGTTGCTAATTGAGATGACTCGTTACCAATTAGACGTTAGCCATATAATCTTACCAACTCATAGCTCAAACTAACTAGCTTACTTTGCATCCCTAACTTTATCCCCAACACGAGATTTAGAAGGAAAAAAAAATGAAGGATGTTTATTTTTCTTCTTTTTTTCGGCGTTCTGCGTTTTACTGGTTCTGACTTCTGGCGGGCGAAGAACCCCTCCGAAGGCCGGCCTCCGATTAGTCCCACTCACTCTCTACTCTCTGGTCTTCCTCCAGTCCCGGACATCGGCGCTGCAACCCTAATATAGCCACTGGTTGCTCTCCATTTTCCGTCTCTCACCGTGGTATCCGCCTTTGTCGCCGCCGATAAGTGATGATGTCGCAGGCCGTCCGCTCCCTGAACCTTGATTGTTGGCTGAAGCTTTGAAGCTGGCCCAAAAACTCGCCGTCGACATCTCCAGTCTCAGCCTGATTTTGGGTCCGTCTTGCTAACGCTTTGAGTTGGCTCTGCAAATCTGTGAGTTTGGAGTTCTTCCCATTTCTCATTTCCTATTTGTTCATTGTAGTGTTTCATTAGTCCTAAGATAGCTGCTTGCAGTGAACCAACTAGGTAGGAAGAATTTTATTTCCGCAAAGAAATGGAAGGTAAATAGCTAGCTTGGATAAATCAATGGTGGATTGATGGTAAATGGGACTACTACATTCCAAAAGGCAATTCTAGAATAACTGTGAACTGATTCGATTCTTATGAATGAATGCTGCATTCCTCTATTTTTAGTATTGGTCGGACGTTTTGGGCACTGTGGAGCTATCACATTGTGGAAGAATTGCTTCTGACGGCGAGTTTACTTTGTGGCAGCTTGTTTTTATTTATGGTGGAGCCTCAAAATCAGACTTTCATGTTTGTTCTCTGGAAAAAGATGTAATAGACCAAGACAGCATTGGATGGACTGGTTTACCTCTGGATATTGTTCACCGATGTCCCAGTGAGTTAAGCCAAGTTGAAGGGCTGAGGTGGGTCTGGAAATTTTGCGGATGTCTGCCAGAGTGCTGCAGATTGCCAGCCACTTTAAGGTGCACCCATTTTCAATTCACTCACCTAAGCCCCTTGACTTCCATTTTGCACGGGTTCATTCTTCTAGCTTATATTACCTCCATCAGTTTTGCCCTTCTTCCCCTTGCTCCCGCCCTCATTCGTTGAACTCGAATGAATGCCGGATATTGGTCGTTGGACTGTCTAAATTGATAAAATACAAGAAAGGATTCATCTTGAAGGCCTTTTCTCTGAAGTTCTCCCCTTACTTCCTAGTAAAGACTATGAAATTGTTGGAATCCCGTGAAGCCGCATTTGCATTCTTCAAACTCGCGTTTCAAAATGATTCCCAGGATACAGTTGAGTCCTGTTGCATTGCAGCCCACGCCTTGGCTGCAGAGAATTTCAGGTGTCTTGCACAGGACATTGTGTCATCGGTATTTAGGAGAATTGGATCTCAGAGGAGTAGAGACTTGGTGGATTTTATGTGGGCAAAGCACAGTGAATATGAGTCTGATTTCTCAGTTCTTGACACTATCATGCGCAGTTTCTTGAATGCAAATATGGGTTATGAGGTGCTTGACATTTTAGGCAGGATGAGGGAGGCAGGAGTTAGGCCAAGTTCATCTGCTATCACTATTCTGTTGAAGTTTTTGCTAAGAGATGGTGATTTCGCTGGTACCTGGAAGTTGTTCAGGGACATCGTTCGCATAGGGTATCAACCTTGTAATTACAATTTCAACACTATGATTCATGGGTTTTGTCAGAAGGGACATGTTAGAGTTGCAGAGAGTTTGTTGCACATAATGTGGAGATTTAGGTGTGAACCAGATGTCTATTCCTACAACATTATGATCAATGCATGCTGCATGAGAGCCCAGACTTCAGAGGCACTTTGTTGGTTAGATTTCATGATTCAAAGTGGTTGTAAACCAAGTATACCTACATTAAACACTATAATTAACGCATTCTGTAGTAAAGGAAATGTAGATGAAGCTAGAAAGATATTTGATGGGATTGTAGAGTTCGGTCTCTTACCTACTGTCTCAACATACAATACAATGTTGAATGGATATCTGAAGGCAAAGAAAGTCACTCAGGCGAAGATGCTTTATGATGAAATGAAAAATAAGTGCATACCACCAGATGGTGTGACATTCAATACGTTGGTTGCTGGATATTATAGGTATGGGAGAGGAGAGGATGCTGACCGCTTGTTGGTAGATCTATCTGTATCAGGGTTGCTTCCACCTGCTTCATTATATGGTATCTCCATTGCAGGGCTATGTTGGGTTGGGCACGTGGACAAAGCAATGCAACTCTTGAAAGATATTCTTGAGAAGGGAGTATGTCTAAGTAGTGTTGCTTTTAATTCTGTTATTGTTGCTTGTAGCCAATTAGGACAAGAAGAGAATGCATATGAAGCTTATAGACTAATGCTCAGTTTTGGTATAGCTCCTTCTTCTCTTACATGCAGTTCCTTACTTATGGGCTTATCCAAGAGGGGTAGAGTGCAAGAAGCAACAGAACTTCTGCATAAAATGATTGAGAGAGGATTTCGTATCAACAGAAAAGCTTTTACGATTATCTTGGATGGGTATCTCAAGAGAGGGGATGTAGATGGGGCTTGCAGTCTATGGGATGAAATGGAAGGGATGGGTATGCATGCTGATGTTGTTGCCTATTCAGCTTTCATTGATGGTCTTTCGAAAGCAGGCTTGATGGAGGAGGCATATAATGTATTCTTGGAAATGTCGATGAAAGGATGCATCCCCAATAGTTTTACATACAACTCCTTGATCCTTGGGTTTTGCAACTCTGGGAAACTAAGTGATGCTCTACAGTTGGAGAAAGAGATGAGGCAACAAGGCCTTCTTCCTGACACATTTACAATTAATATCATCATTCGCGGATTCTGTAAAGCAGGGAAAATGAAGATGGCGGAGGATGCATTTGCAGACATGTTCCGAACTGGTTTAACCCCTCCTGATATTGTCACATACAACACTTTGATCAGTGGATATTGCAAAGCATTTGAAACGGTTCATGCAGATGAGCTCGTGAAGAGAATGTATGCTGGGGGGTGGGAACCAGACATCAACACATATAACATCCGAATTCATGGGTTTTGTAATACTCAAAAAATGAATCGAGCTGTGATCCTGCTGAACGAGTTGATTACAATGGGGATTATTCCAGACACGGTAACTTACAACACCATGATAAATGGTGTTTGTACAGATGTTCTGGATCGTGCGGTAATCTTGAGTGCCAGACTGCTGAAAATGGGGTTTGCACCAAATGTTATTACCACCAATATATTGTTGTCTCAGTTTTGCAATCAAGGAATGCCCGAGAGGACATTGATGTGGGTAAAGAAACTGAGTGAGATTCCGTTTGTTCTGGATGAAATTTCTTATAAGATTATGGGGAAAGCTTTCAGTAATATCGAAAATAAAGTTGAACTTGTGAGGGGAACCTATGAAAAGACCCTCTTTCTGGATTTCCTCATGTATATCACATATGATTATTTTTGTAGAACTAGCCGCCAGACTCAGAGGATTACAGTTGAAGATCCTCTTAAACTGACTGAACGTGCTTGTGTTGGATATTGAGCATTGGGATTAGTTTCTAGAGTAGAAAGGCATTGAATTGCGAAGGTGAAAGGGAAAGGACAACGAAGTCTCCAGGTCCTAGACCAGGTGCATAGTTGAAGCGACCAAAACAAATTTACCATGATTCTGGTTGTTTTGCAAAGATTTTTCAATGCAGTTTTGACAATCGATGTGCACAATAGACTGAACCCAAGTTCAGGCGTGATCTTTACTTTTCAAGAGATTGAATTCTGCAAGGACAATTTAGTCCGGCTGTATGTCTGAGTCTGACAAGGAGACATGTAGCACCGCACCTCATCTGACAGTAAGCATTTATCAAGCAACATTGTAATGGTCACATAGTTCAGTCTCTATATGAATTCCTGAATATTACTATTTTATTTACCCTATTTTATTTACTCTTGTTTGATGTGTGTATATCAACCAGTCTTCAAGGGTGTGCTAGAGATATTGAAATGAAAAAGCGCACCCTGGAGAAGCGACGAGCAAAATCAGATTCGCAGGTGCATGGCAGCCAAGAATGACATTGTGGTGAGTCGTAATTTACATATTCTTTCATTGTGAATCATTGGAAGCTTTAACTGCTTAAAGTAATTCATGTCTTTAGAATAGACTTCTACATTTTGGATGACTTTTGCGGTAACTGCTTAATGGTCTATGTAATTTTCACCAAACCTGACTGTTTCATGTTCTCTTCATTGTCCACTTATGGTGCTTGAATACATTCAGGTACCTGATGCCATTTTCTCTTAGGTGGTTACCAAGCTAGAGTATATTATAGATATTATGTAAATTCCTCTTATATTTTGTAAAGAATGGCTTGCTGCTGAAATCTTAGAAAGGATATGTCAGCTTTCTTTCAACATAAATTTAAATTAGCACATGCTTTTCAGTTCCCTCTTCAAGTGTCAACTTGTTTGATTGATCTGCTGAAATTTGAACCACTTTCATTAGGTCTGCCAATGGAGATTGCTCGGTGGGATAACCAAACTTTTGAAGCAGCAGCATCCAAAACCTCCCTCATGTCCTGTTGACGCCCATCCCTCATTTCCACAAAAGCTCCTTCAAGTCAGGTGTGCTCTCGGGTTTATTCCCCACAGATGCATAGATTTGCTAGATATTCATGATGTCAGAGTAGGCTCAAATGTATAGGCCGAGTTACTGTCGATATTGATGTCAACCCATTCACCAGGCTTACCATGGCCTTAGTATAGAAGACTTTGTATCAGGATCACTTGGTGTTCTTCTCAACCCGATGGCAAATGTAGCGAGTTCCAAATGGAACTGCAAAACGTTTGAGAAATCATTACGAGAAATGATCGGTTGATGTATGAAACATTCGAGGCTTCGGCTTGTACTGTATACTTACAGCAGTAGATTGTAACATATATGAAGCAATATGCTTAGTATTATCAGTGTTCTCAATCAGGTGACGATTTCATTTGGTCACAATAGACCCCCTGGTCACTAAAGCTTTTGATGGTGATTGTTCATCCTGATTGATGATAAATAGCAACTAACTTATCCCACTTATAGCCACCACCATACAAAAGATACTGTTGCTAATAGTATGGCCTCTTTGAGCACACATGCTAATCATAAATAACTTAGACGACAGGGACTCAAAATAACTGTACCTAATCAACAACACTAATTGACCCTTGCTTGATCTTCACGAAATATTGTTACTGAAGATACTTAATAGCAACAAAATAGGACTGCCATCATCTAGACTATACGTAACTCTTGTCGGTTCTTCAGTAACCTCACCTTCAAGCTTTTCTTGTTGAACTTCTTCAAAGCTTTGGCATGCTTCTTGCTCAAGACCTGCTCATGCGTCACAATCTCTTGTAACTGAGCCTCCTTCGCCTGCAAGTCTCTCACGATTTCCATGCACGTCTGATCATCCGATACAGCCACGGGGAAGCATATTTCCGGGTCCCTGAAAAGAATCATCGTCAAGAAACAGAACTGAGTTCACTAAGGTGAAATATTATGAACATGAGGATAGTGCAGCTAAAGCAACCAAATGGCTTACCTTTGTCCGAGATAGGCGACTCCGCTTGCTCTCAAAATCCCTCCATCTAGAGACACAGCACCATGTTTCGTGTAGAAGAGATGTGCACGTGCCTTGTGCATCGATTCTCGGGTATCGTATACCTCAAGCTTCCCGAACAGATGGAAGAATAGTGTTTCCCTCAGTCCATAACCCTCCGTTGTCCTTGTTTTAAGGTGGTCGCTGTCTATTTCGACCATGTTGACCGCATAGCCCAAGAAACCAGGTGGTGTCTTCCCATTTGGTAATTCCGGAGGGGGAAGTGCCAGCTTCCTTTGGGGGCAATTTGCTTCAAGATTCCCTTTGTAGGGCCTGCCAGTAAAGCTAGGGTTCTCAATAGTCTGCAACTCACTTTAACTTTAAATTCTTCGCAGGCTAGGAAATAGGGGAAATTTAACTTCAATGGATATGCTGGAAAGATAGAGAAGAAAGCTTACAACAAATCTTCAAGAGATATAACTTGAAATCGGCCAATTATAGATCTTCCAAGGGCAGCTGCTTGTGCATGGACACCGAACTCGTAATCAATTTCTCCATTCTCTCTATATTTCTCCAGAGAACCTGCTGCTTCTTTAAAGGATGTACAGACCACAGCAAGCATCTGATCCTCGCCCAGATACTCGCTTAATAACCTGGACACAGACATAGTAGAAGAATGACAATCAAGGACACTCGAAAGAGCTCACAGTTAATGAACAGGGCGTAAATGAACAAACAAAAGACCTGCTTAGCTTGCTTGTGCTTACTGTCCCGAGCTTCGCAACTAGACCAATTATACTGTTGCAGAAATGTGGTTCTGGTATTCCACTTGTATGATCTCTTGATAAATGATTGACAATTGCGGAAGCTGAACTACTCCTCTCAATTCTTTCCTCTATTTGCTCCTTAGTTGGCAGACAGTCCACAATGCTTAAGGACTGACTTCTGGCAGAATCTGGGAATCAAACAAGCAATAGACACGTGAGGGGGAAAATGGATGAGTAAAGAAATTTTCTTTCAATCAGCAATCATATTTAGCAGAACAAAATGAATAGTCAAACCTTGGAGCTGAGATATGTTTAGCTCAATTTCTTCCTTCTCCACCAGTAATTCTTTCAGCGCATTCTCCAACTCTCCAATTCTCTTGCCATGCTTAAAAATACCATGCATCATCTGTTTATGAATTAGCAAGACACGTTACAGCACCATATATTGCCTTCAACCACGACGCAATGCAAATATGAATTATTCCCGATTAATAATTAAAGTTCAACTACCAAGTTCTGACTTAAGCTTTACTAATTACCCAAAAAACAAGCTTAGTACAGCAATCTCACCTCATCAATTGTACATAGAGGCATTAAATTTTCTGCACTTCCATGAGGGGAGCAGTCCTGAACCAACAGACACTTCCCTTTTGAAGATGGAGACGGAGTTTGGATCTTCTGGCATTCAACATCTGGAGCCAGCAATGTCTCCTCATCAATTGCACTTAATGGCGTTATATTTTCTGCACTCATATGAGGTGAGCAGTCCTGGACGAAAAGACGCTTCCCATCTGAAGATGGAGATGGAGTTTGGATCTTTGTGCATTCTACTTTTGGAGCCTTCATGACACTGACCACAATGTCGCACTGTAGTTGCGAGCAGAGAGAGTGAAATGCTGTGATGCATAAGCTCCCTTCCACTGGAGGGATTTGAATACTCGGTACAGTGCAGCATCCATGGCTGAATGCATATGGAACAGAATCCTCAACGTTTGATTCAATAGATTTTACTTTTAGGATGAGAGATTGACAGCTCCCAGCGTCATGGATCCTCGTGTCAACCTCACCGCCAGAATCCACGACTCTAAATACTAAGTTTTCAAGCTGAGACCCAGCAGTGCAGAACTTCGGCACCTTAAAACATTATTTGAGTCAGCAGCATGTATCATTAGATTTTATTACGTATATATACATAGATAAACCAGTGTTTAAATATAGAGAGAGAACATAAGGTACCTCTGACGCGATTTGTAGCATCCTCTGGTCAATTTGAAACTGTTTCTGGAACAGAACCTTGTCATTGCCATGACGTGAAACATAAATGGAGGCTGCCAGAAAGCAAAGGTAGTTCCTTTAGTAAACAAAGCTACACATTCATATTATTATTGGCATTGTCGGCTGCAAGTCTTTATTAATTCGGGTTTCTCTTTTCCTTTCTTATTTGATTAGAACAACAAGGTGCAACTAGAGACTTCAATGCACAAGGCTAAGAACTTAACTTCAATCAATGAGTATCAAAAAAAAAATTCACGTCAATACACACCTATCAATGATCCAAATATGGAGCCGTTATTTGTTCAAATAATCCAGAAAACTTAACAGAAATGAGTAAGGGTTGAGGATGGTAAAAATAATTGATTTGAACAGATAGAAACATCCATCATCAAAGTAAGTAAAAACTCTGACTGGGTTCTTGAGAGCTAAAACCTACCGATCTGCCCAAAACCAGCTTTTACTTTCAGAACGCCACCAAGGTCAATAAATCCATCATTGTTCACCTGGAACAGAAGGTGGCAAGTCAAGTAAAACTTAAATCAGTTATTGAGACATTCTTCAGCATTCAAGATCCAGAGAAGATACTAAAAAGGACACGACATTCCAGAAGGAATTTGTTCTGCGAGAGCTCTGCAATGAAATTAACCACAAATATATATTCCACACTACAAGGCTGCCTATTAATCATATCAGGGAGCATGAGCGTCTTTAGCTAACATAGGCAGAACAAGGGAACAAGTAAATATATTCTGATGCATCTTCCAAATGATACATTTATTGCATGCATCAGAAGCAAATTTTATTTTAACATAATGGAAATAGCAAATCCCTAAACACTAGTTAGAAGCATCCATTCTCAAACCGAATTCCAGATCCTTACCTTGCGATTTGAACCTTCTTTATCAATAATCTCAAGTCCGTCAACACTTAGCTTAACTTCTGACCCCTTCGGCACATGATTACGATATTCATCAAACATCTGGAGGGAAAATATGAGGCATTAATGTCATCAAATTCAAAGCACGTTTTGTCATACTAAGTAGTTTCATCTTTAATATGGACACAACTCTTTGGATTAGTATGAGCGTATTGACATTTAACATGTACACTTATTGGACACAACTCTTTGGATTCTTCATATTGCTTGTCCAAATAGTTCACATCCAGTAGCCTTACTACAAGAAGCATATCTCCGCATCAAACTGAAACCAGTATCTTAAATATAACAGAGAGAGTAGTAGCTAGTCCCTCAATTCTGAAAGGACATTTCTATTGAACTCAAGTAGGCGTTTCATCTTCAGTTGATCAATTCTAACTTTCAAGAAATGCATTAACTTGCAAGCTAAATTTGTCCGAGTTGCCAAACGGAGTACTAACTTCCAAGAAATCTGTTTGTGGATACGAACATTACTGAAATCAGATTCCACCATAAAGAAATAAGCATTTAAAATCTTTTTAGAAGAACTGAAATTTCATAATGTTAAAAGTCTCGGCAATGCTTAGTTAAGAAGAGACCAGATGCCAGGTCGTTTAACTTATTATCAAGCTGGTAAAAATTTCGGTATTAAGGACACTCAATCTTGCATACTTTCCATGCCTAGATTTATTATCAGTTCAGCGAGTAAGAATATAAATAAAAAAATGACGACAAAATAACAGATACCTCCAATGACAAGTTCTTCAGTATAGAACCGGGAAGCAAGCCTTCTATATCAGAAATATGATGAGCCTTAATAAGCTTAAGAGGTCCAGGGGAAACAGCCACCTTTTTATCACAACTCTTGCAACTGGAGTCAGTCTGAGCACGCCAAATTTGGTACAACAATAAGCAAAGCTTAGTTAATGCAGGTCAATATAAGAAGTGCAATGGAAAAACACAAACATGAGGCTCTACGAAGAACTTACAAGGGAGAATGAAAAGGTGTACATGCCAGCTCTTTGAAATAAATCTTGCCGCTTGTCTGTCAGTTGAAAGATATATAAACCGCTTAATCCTTTACGAGATGTTGGAGACACACGAGACGAGTATATATGTTGAGTTGCTCGTTCCTTCCTATTGCTGCTGAACTTAATGACCATAATCATTTGAGCAGAAGTTTGGACTATATACTTCTGGTCCAAAGTTCCAGAAGTTTGGGCTGACTCAAAATTTGCTGGCCGAGCAACTGCCACGAGTTCCCTTGGAGGAGCTTTTCCAGCACGGACAGTACCATTAGCAGGCAATTCCTGAAACAGCCATAAAAGAACAAATGAAAACTGAAAACAAGGAACAGTTGGAGCTGAAGATGCTGAACTCGGGTAAAAGTTAAATCAGAAAAAACAAGCAGGGGGGCGGAATGCCAGACAAAGAACTTCTCCCCAGGAGTTATTTTAGTAAAATGAATAGCAAGTGCTGACCTCGTGTATGTCCAACAGTTTACAATGCTCTAGATATAGCAAATTAATAGTAGATGGAGCTTTCAGGCGTTGCTTCTGAAGTTGGTTGGCCCACTCCACAGCTTCAACAGCTAGACACTGAAGTTAAGGGAATGAGATACAGCAAAACAATCGATTAAAAAGCAAATGAAAGACTTGGAGAGAGTCCATCATATTTGCAACGTTGAGCTTTTGAGAAGAGAGCAAACAGACCTTTCCAGAGTCAATAACACTAATAGGTACCGAATGAGAATCACGAATTTCTAAAGTAGAGTTTTCATTTTCCATGGTAACGCGAGCGCCCTTCTCTTCTGCAATGTGCAGTGGCCTTTTGAATCCAATGTAACATAATCAGTCAGTTGCACATACCACAAAATAATCATTGAACTAAAGAAAAGAAGATGAACATGCACCGCGTACCTGCATATAAATCGAGCGTCTCCTGTAGAGTGTAGAAATAAGGTGAATGGTCATGTTTATTTAATATTTAGAAGCTGTCCAACATAAGATGAGAGAACAAAAATAAAATATCTCTCACCACCAGCATCCCCATGCAATCCTTCAATCACAAAGTATTCAATTGTTGCATATACATTGCTTTTATGGAATCCAGCAGCTGCTCCCTTCAAGATTTTGATCTGCTGGCCTCTCCTCCACAATGCTCCTTTTCTGTGCAAAACTTCGTGCACCCTGAAGACTAAAAGTTAATATGAAATATTTAGATAAATATATCCAGTGTTAAGGAACTAGAGAGACGAGATCAGAAACTCAGAACCGAAAGAACATTCAGTACCAGATAGAAATAAAACCAATTGCACACTCAACAAACGTGCACACAAAATTGTTGATAAATCTAGAGCCCAAAAGAATAGTTACCATCAGATGAGATGCAAAGTTGATTTTTATTTGTCGGGGAGACGATCATGATTGGTTCATCTTCACCAGATCCAATCTCTTTATCATAAAGTTCGTGCATCTTAAAAATCCATTCTTCATACTGCCTCTCCAGTTGTGAAACAGTGCATTTTTTAGAATCTCGAAAGATTTCAATGTTGACATCTGCATATGGATTTTTTGGTGAATTTCCATGTTGGGAGTGGATGATAAAGGGATAGAAGAAATGAAAGGAGTAAGACCTTGATTGTCAGAAGTCCTGCCCCCGAAGCATTTCAAAGCAGTTGTAAATCTGTTGTGATGCGCTAGATCAGTCTGCATCATAGCAAGTTGAATGCTTCATCAAATTTTACCCATCCAAAAAAAGTGAAGAGACTGAAAAATAAACAAATAGTTCAATTGACAAAACAAGAGCTGCTTTCTCGTGCACAGTCACTGATTTTTAAGTACTTTCCTTGTGTCTTCGAGGCATGTATCGCTAGATAAGTACAACACCTACATGCAGCTTCTTCCGACGGTTTTCCCAAGTAAAACTTTTAAGATGACAGAAGATGAATCTTATATAAGGTTTTCATGTAATAAGAACAGAAACATGGATGAACCACCAATGAGCTGAGGAACTCAATGGTTATGAATTGGTAAATCATGACTAACAGTACTAGGAAATTTTTGGCAAGAATTGGCTTGTGTCGACAATTAAAGTAGCGGGAAGAAGGATGAATTACATCCACAGTATGAGTATGCCAGCAACACACGGAAATAGAAGGTAATTTACTGTACACTGATGGGACAGTTGAATAACTCATAAGTACCTACTCATATATTACCTTTGAAGGTGTTGGACTGAAACCAGCATCAGTTTCTTCAACCACAAAAGTGTGAAACCATCAGGAATGGGAGAATGTTTAAGGGTGTGAAAATAAAATGATAAACCACAGTGAAAGAAGTATACCAACGAAACATTTAATTCTTGAGCAACATTTCTTCAGCAAATCCGCTCTTGCTCCCCTTTTCAGCCGAAAATCCATAAATGGAAGAGCACCCTGTGATGAAGCAAAAATAACATGATTTAGGAGAAACGACGAGAAGGAAGACTTTTAGGTTATGTTCATGGCCTGGCCTCCACTGTAGAATGATGATAACTACAGTGAAATATATGGTAATGAATGTCATTGATACATGCAACAAGAAACAACTAACCCAGCGAGCATCGGGTAGTAGACGACCCAGGCGACGAATAGATACACGACTGAACGTTTCAAAATTTTCATTAACTCCACACCCTTCCTGATCCAGGGTTTCCAAGATCCTATTAATAGTCTCGTTACCCTGTACGAAGAAGTTTAAATCTTTAATTACTTGCCAAAGCCAAAAAGACAACAGCAGGCTTCTGTGTATTTTATCGTACCTCCAATATAGGAAAATAAACACACTTCAAGCGTGCATTAGCTTCTTGATGAGGCGAACCTGAACCATTTAAGTTTCTCGGTAACTAACCTAGGCTGGCACTGGTAACAAGCACAAAACAATAGACGCTACCTGCAGTACCTATGGGGCTATGATCCTGCCCCGAAGAAAACTTAAGCTGGAAGACAAAATTAGGCCCATTGCAAGAATTGAAGTTGGTAACTGCCACCTCACCACCGGTTATCTCAGCTAAGTCAATACCATCAACCTGCGAAACAAAGAATTCATTCTAAGAATCACAAACTGGTAGGATGATAATTCCTCGGTGATTCAAATGAGAACGAAAATCTTAGCTTAGAACTTCAACAAAAGAGGAACATGCCAGGAGTATAAAAGGATATGAAAGTTGTGAAAACCACAGAAGAGTGCAATCCAGAACCTTCTTTCTTAATATAAAACTGTGATTCCAAAACACAACTTGCGATTCAAGCTACAATGTCGCTCAATATTAGGAAACAACCACAAGAATTCAGAAAAGAGGTTTCGGATCAAACCAGAAATTCAATTGGTCTTGTCGTCTTCCCAGACATTTCATCACACTGTATTGCAGATTGAACACTAAATTAGAAGGGTTTAAGAAGATGACATATATTCCATAAACAATAGACAACAGAAGTATCATTTGTGAGAGTTGTATCTACAGCTTATGTTTTAGCATCTAAAATTTGAGATGGAGCAAACATAGATAATGTTTATATGGGAGATACCTGGACGTAAGGGAAATAAATGTCCTTCAGTTTGCACTGGAGTTGAAATACATCCAAGCTTTTAAGTTTAAGCTCAAAAATCTCGACCTGATAAACATTGAAAATGACATTCATCAGAACAATTGCATATTTGGATTTTACAAAATTACACCATTTATTAAGCTTCAGTGATTTGCTACACTAACACAATAGGGAGAACAACATGCACTCTCAATTGACTCTGAACGAAAAGCAAGTAAAAGCAAAAACAATTTCAATTCTAAGAAAAAAGAACCCTTTCACTGCAAAGATAAAACCAGAAACTAAAAAATGGATGCAAGCATTCACCTTTGTGAAGCTTCCATGAGGTGATTCTTTATCTTCCTCCTCTAAGGGATCCCTCAAGCCACCGGGAGTCTAATAATGGATCACCATCAATTAGGATAAAACTATTAATAGAAACTATGGAAAGGACATGCAGCAAGGAAAAGGAATAGCTGAAGCAGTGCTAACGTACACGTACTTTTCCCCAAAGTGTGAAAGGAAAGATAGGGTATGAAACTAATATACCTTCCAAGACTGTTCGGAATTAGATTTCTTAAGCAAAGCTTCTCTCTCTAAATGCAATGTGTAAACTTTACTTGATGTTTTGGTCTTGGAGGATACCAAAGCTCGCCTGTGATGCCATATAAGTTATGAGAGAAGCTTAACTTTATTAACGCAATTATGGAAACTGAAAGAGGGAGAAGTCCAACCTTCCCATATGCATGGACGCAATGGGCCCTCCAAATCCAAACATGCCAAAAAAGGGCTGTGTAGTCAACAGAGTTTGTATAAGATAATATTAAACCGATCAGATGATCAAATCAAAGCAGAATATAATATAAAGTTTCCAGAAGCCATCTCTTTAGGTAAGGAGCTAAACGTAGCTTAGCAAATACGAATTCATTGTAGCATTATCAGAAACCATTTGCTGATAGTCCAGGGGTGCCTTCATGACATTCTTAGAAACAAAAAAATCTTTTCAGCTTTAGACAATACCATCAAGTATGGCGGTTCGCCCCCTATTGCCTGTGCCTTTGACGACCTATGGAGGGACGCCCCCATCTTCCCCCTGCATGAAGATTGGAACACAAGTTGAGGGATTAGAAAAAAAGAATGGTGAAAAGAACATATGAGTGAAAAATGTGTCATATCTAGTTTCCAAACAGAAAGATAGCCGTAGCAAGGAAAGGAAGCAATAACCATACTAATAGTGCATGAGGAATTTCGCAACAGTTTCCAGATTATCTAACCATACAAGAATTCTTGAGCCTTTGTTCCGACCAATTCTTTATAGGGCGAGCTCACATTGGAGTATTTATCCTCCCAATGATCAAATCATGTCTGCTACTTCACAAGTATTACTACTCAGGCCCAACGTTCTGTATCATCGATACAGGAATACTCTATTGTCCAAAAGAGCAGCAGAAGCAATCAGAAAAGAAAGCTGAAAACACGTACCATTTTGAAATAGAATTTTCTTCACTACTGTCCATTCCAGGACCAGTATCAAAGATAGAAACCCTATCTTCCTTTACATCCACTCTGCAGAACACATGGAAAACCATAGTTTAGATGTGACAAGAGTGAGCAAAATTCTATCAAATGTATAATAACAGGTCCAAATTGCACTGAAACAATTACCGAATCAATCTCCGGTCACTTTTACCATTGGTCCAAACTGCTTGTAATGAATTATCCTGAAAAATCAGCAACAGGATATCAATTAGCAGGGATGAATTTAATTAGAAACACATGCAGAAGCAACACTAAATTCAAAACTGTGTCGGTTACTTACAATCAAATCTGCAAGAGCAGACTCAAAAGAATATGCCTCTGGTAACTCCTTCAGCAAGTCTGTGTCCGGCGTGAGATCCCACATATTCTGACCGATTGGTGGAGGAACAAGTCCACAAAAGATATCAAATCGTGTTGATCAGACAAATAGGTTCCCCAAACACTGAAGAAACGCAGGATTTAAAAAGCACCAACATTTTCAAGCATGCCTACTGACCTCAAAAGTCCGACTGATCCTCGAGCCTCCATCCTAATCACACAAAAGAAAAAAATCCCGAAATGAATACAATGTACCAAGAGGAATGACTAGTATATACAACCCCGTGAGGAAAAGAAACAACTGGTGTTCATATCAAAAAAGCAAAGAACAGCCATACTATTGTAACTGGAACGCAACTACAGGAGAAAAGTAACACTCACGTGAAGACGTAGAACATGGCACTTGTAGGGCTTGTAATTCTCAAACATGATCTTCTGTCTTACTTTACGATCATGGGCATCCACAAGATACAAAGATTCAGAGGTCCAAATCACACCCCATTGAGGTGTAACCCCTGATTGCCTCCTCACAATGGCATACTCCTCTCTCACCTTCTGAATGAAATTCTGGAGCGACATTTCAGGTTCAGGGTTGCTCAATCTTATTCCCACCGTCACCCCATTTGGGAGTAAGATCTTGAATTTGTACACCCGGTCTAAGTTGACCCCGCCACCGTCTTTCCCGTCCAGGTCCAGCTTCCTCTTAACAGTCTTCTTCAGCATCCTCCCTCCCTTATCTTAGCTGCAAACAAACTGAAAGGGAGAAAACAGAAACAGGCTTCAAAATTTGTGGTCTCAAGCTTTCTTTCCACTAGTCTTTCTGAAATCAGAAAAAAAAAAAAAAAACCTCGTCTCTAGTCCCGCTTACTTCTTGGCCACGCTACTTCGCGAAGAACAATAGAAGAAATCAGGAAGACTAAACGAAATCACAAATTGAAATAACCTAATTCCCCGAACGAAGTGCACTAACTAACAAAAAAAAAAAAAACGAAGCAGAGGCAAAGCAAAACTCGACTCTTGCTCCTGCTGTGAGAGCTGGAACCAGCTGAGCAGTAGTGAGAAGCGAAGAACTAAAAACAAAGACCACTACACTGATGTTTCGAACGCCGCCATGAAAACTCGAAATCAACAGAGTAAACTGAGCAGTGATCACAATAAAAGCAAGTTCTCCGAGAAATGTACCTACGGAAGGTGAAGAGCCGGCGAGCGGCGGGGATAGATCACCGGCGACGCTTGGTTTTCCGACGGTGTGGGGAAGGAGAAGGAAAATGCCTAGGGTTTCAGAGGAAAAGGCGAGATGATAAAAAAAGAGGGGAAGTTGGAGAGGCAGAGAGGGGAAGGGAAGGGAAACTGACAAATTGCTGTCTCACTCTGTCACACTGAAAGAAGGAAAGTAAGCAGAAAACAGAAAGGGAACCGTTGTGCGGCAGAGGGAGTGGCGCACTGCGCAGAGTACCCGCGGGAGCGGGTTTTGCTATCCTGCGCTCGAAATCGCCAGTTGCGGGCCCCAGAATCTGGATGTAGGGTCGGGATGGATGGGAAGCACAACCGATCGGCTGCTTTTGGACGGCTGGGATTCAATGCATTGCGGAGCAAGCTAACAGTAGTGTCGCCCTCTTCCCTTCCGCCACGTGGGTTCGCCACTCTGGAAGTGTGGGGTCCAGATAGGACAAGCTTTATCCATTTCTTTTTTTTTTTTTTTTTGTTCACGGCGCATTTCTCCATTGGGTATTTTTTCAACGGGCTCCAGGGCCCAAGTGACTTTGGATCGGACTACAAGTAGGCAACATATCTATGTGTGGGATGTTGAATGGGCTCGTTTTTTCCTTGCATAGTTACATTCTATTTGATAAAAGGCCAATACTACGGTGCCGCCAATAAAAGTGCGGCACCGGTGACGCGACCCTTCATTGGTCCACGTGGATATGAGGTGGCGTTGATTTTGTTTAATTAATCCCAACCAAACCCCAGGTGGCCCGTTAGAACTTAGAAGTAGCCCAACCGGGCGAAAGGATTCTCCATAACTCCGTAACTCCGTTCAACGTTTTGTTTTCGTTTTTTATTGAAGGATCCACAAGGATCAGATGCACGAAGAACAGCAGCCACAGCAGTGCTTCATTGCAGTCCTGGTCAAGTAAGGATTGCTGGAAGTCAACCGAAGACAAGCAATGGACTGAAGTGTGAGGTTTTACAACTTTGGAACTAATGCGACATTTTTACATACGGTGTCGTTTTATTCTTTATTCATTTTAGTCTGATTGAGAACAGATTAGTTACTAATAACTGAATCCAGCCATGCCACCTGTCGGGTTTTGGTTAATGGATTCAAGCAACGGTTGGTGCTGTTCATTAGCCGTTGTAATCCTTTTTCCCTCCTTCATATAAATACAAAACACCCAAAAGAGAGGACTGTAGGTTTTCTACAGATCCTCCACCCCAATCATTCGTCTCCTTTCTTATGGTATCAGAGCAGCGTTCCGCCGTCCAGGACTCCTAGACTTCCGCAGCAGCTGCATCCATGGCGACGAACGACAATGCAGAAGAGTCAGCTGCAGCTACAGCAACAGTCGACTCTTCTGGCAACACCATTGGAGGATCTTCCACTATCTCACCAGAGTTCGTCTTTGGTAACCCTTTCTATCAAAACCCTAATGAGAATCTGTCTCAGTCCATAGTTTCAGAAGTGTTGGATGGTAGTAATTACCAGATGTGGGCTAGATCTATTCGTATTGCTCTTAAAACCAAGTACAAACTTGGGTTCATTGATGGTTCAATTGAGGTTCCAGATCTGAGAACCAACCCTAATGAGTATAGGGCTTGGGATGCTTGTAACACAGTTGTTTTATGCTGGATTATGAACTCTTTACACAAGGATATTAAGAGAAGTGTGCAGAGCCATGAAGTGGCACAACTTCTTTGGGAAGAGCTTAAGGACAGGTTTGGCCAAGCAAATGCCATCAAACTGACCAATCTGGAGGATGAACTTCATGCCACAAAGCAGGGAAACATGACCATAACCCAGTACTATACTCTTGTCAAGGGATTATGGGAGGAATACACCAAGTTTAATCCTATTGTGCCCTGCACATGTGCTCCAGGACAGGTTACTCCATGTCCAGCAGTGGAGGCTTTTAAGACCAAACAAGAAACTGACTATCTAGTTAGGTTTCTTAGAGGAGTAGCACCTGCTTTTGATGTTGTTAAAACTCAATTATTGATGATGAAGCCCCTACCCACAGTGGTTGCTGCTTATGGTGATTTGCTTCAACATGAGCAGAAGTTGAAGGGGGACAAGGGCAAAAGTAATCAGTCAGTTGCACTAGCCTCTTTTGGGAACCAATCAGGTCAAGGAAATACTGCAGGGAGACCACCATCAAGGTCGAATACTTCTGAAGTAGGAGACACTGGTCTTTTCTGCAGGTATTGCAAGAAGAACAATCACACAATTGCTGATTGCTGGAAGTTGAAAAGGAAGAACAAGGAACAGGGTTCAGGAAGTGGTCAAAGGTTTGCTGGAGCAGTTAATGATGGGGATGAAGGGAACTCTGAGTCGTTTTCTAATGGAGGGTCTGCAAGTCAAAGTTCTGGTAATTCTGGTTCTGGAAGTAACATGAGCTTGCAGTTTACCAATGATGAGCTGAACAAGTTAAGGCTCTTGCTGCAAGGGGTGACCAACTCTCCTTCACCATCACCATCACCACCTCATTCACCAAGTATCAACCATGCTGCTTTCTCTGCTTCACAGCAGATGCCTCATTTTCCCAACTCAGCTGGTAAATACATTCTTTCCTCATATATTCACTGTCATTCAGCTTTCCTTTGTCAATCATGGATCTTAGACACAGGAGCTTCTGATCATATTGTTTGTTCTCAGTCATTATTTGTTAGTTGTCAACCAGTTAGGGATGTATATGTCTATCTTCCAAACAAGTCTAGAGCCCTAGTTACACACACTGGATCAGTTAAACTACCAAATGGGATGCCTTTACACAATGTTCTTCTCATTCCCAGTTTTACCTTTAACCTTGTGTCAGTTAGCAAACTAACACATGATTTACCAATCTCACTAAACTTTCATTCTGACTTTTGTCTTGTCCAGGACCTTGTAACCAACAAGAGGATTGGCTTGGCAAGACAAAGTAGAGGTCTATATCTGTTAGCTGCCAATCCAGAAAGTGAACCTAGTCATTCCGTTGCTTCAGTTTACAACTTTTTCCCTCAAAAGATCAATCTCTGGCATTGGCGTTTAGGACATCCAAGTTCCAACAAGTTTTTGTTAGTCAAACAATGTAATCCCAGTGTTCAAAGTGAGAGAGTGAAACACTGTGATACTTGTCATTTTTCCAAACACAGGCGTTTGCCTTTTGCTTTAAGTGAAAACAGAGCTACTGATGTATTTAATTTGATCCATGTTGACATATGGGGGCCTTTGGCTGTTGAATCATATGATGGTTTTTCCTATTTTCTTACTGTGGTTGATGATAACTCTAGAGCTGTTTGGACTTATCTCATGAAACACAAGTCTGAAACAAGATCATTACTTCAAGGTTTCTGCATTATGGTGCAGAAACAGTTTTCAAAATCTGTTAAGATTATAAGAAGTGATCAGGGCAGGGAATTTCACATGAATGACTTTTACCATGAGCATGGTATTGAACATCAGATGTCCTGTGTGGCTACTCCTGAGCAAAATGGCAGGGTAGAGAGGAAGCACCAGCACATTCTAAATGTGGCTAGGGCATTGAGGTTCCAATCAGGAATCCCTTTACAGTTTTGGAGTGACTGCATTCTACATGCAGTTCACTTGATTAATAGATTACCTACACCTGTGTTGAACAACAAGAGCCCATATGAGATTTTATATCAAACACCACCTTATCTGGGACACTTGAAGGTCTTTGGCTGTTTAGCCTATGCCTCAACATTAAGCAGTGGCAGGACTAAATTTCAAACTAGAGCCAGACAGTGTTTGTTTTTGGGATATCCTATGGGAATCAAAGGTTACAAGTTGTTTGATTTAAACACCCATGATGTCTTTGTATCTAGGGATGTAACCCTGTATGAAGACATTCTGCCCTTTAAGAATTCCAACTCTCCTACAGAAGAAGATACAGACCCTACTTTTCCTGATCTTCCTACTGTTCAATTCCCTTCCACCATTGAGCCTTTTCCTCCTGACAGCCAGGCTCATGGGGGCCATACACAACCTGTTGCTTCAGGAACACAGGATGAGGATTTTTCTCCTGGTCCTTCCAATTCTACTCCACTTTCTACCCCTACTCCTATTGATCATCAGGAAGTTGACAGTGAATCAGATGACTATAGGGATGCTGAGCCTGACTCTCAGGATTCAGATGATGATGAACTGCCACCAGGAGATGAATTGGAAGAAGATGATTTGCCTCCTAGAACCAGGAAACCTCCTGTATGGCACAAGGATTATGTTACTTCTCTAAACCAAATTAGCCAGTACTGTATGGCAAACTACATTTCCTACCACCAATTCACTCCACAGCAGAAGAGGTTTGCATTGAACTTAACAGTTTTGATGGATCCACAGAGTTATAAAGAAGCAGCCAAGGAGCATCATTGGATCAAAGCTATGGAAGAAGAACTGAATGCCTTGCTTGAAAATAACACATGGGATCTTGTCACCTTACCTCCTGGAAAGAGAGCCATTGGCTGCAAATGGGTCTATAAGACCAAGCTGAAACCAGATGGAGCTATTGAGAGATACAAAGCAAGGTTAGTAGCCAAAGGGTTCACTCAAATCTATGGAATAGACTTCCTAGATACCTTCTCACCTGTTGCCAAAATTAACACAGTCAAAACTCTTCTAGCTGTTGCAGCAGCTAAGGATTGGTATTTACACCAAATGGATGTCTCCAATGCATTTTTGCATGGAGACTTAGATGAGGAAGTCTATATGACACCTCCACCTGGATTACAAGGCAGTGAAGGGAAAGTTTGCAGGTTAAGAAAATCACTGTATGGCTTGAAACAGGCAAGCAGACAGTGGTTTGCCAAGTTGACCTGTTCATTACTTAAGAATGGTTTTTCACAATCAGCATCTGACTACTCAATGTTTACTAAGAGAGTTCAAGGTAGACTGGTTGTGTTACTTGTATATGTTGATGATATCATCTTGGCAGGACAGAGGTTGGATGATTTGGAGTTGGTTAAGCTCTACTTGAAGAGGAATTTTAAGATCAAAGACCTTGGGGTTTTGAAGTACTTTTTGGGGCTTGAAATTGTCAGGAATGATCAAGGAATTGTGGTGAACCAGAGGAAGTATTGCAGTGAGCTTCTTGAAGACAGTGGCTATTCAGAAGCCAAGGAGACACAAACACCTATTGATATGAAGGTGAGATTGAGTTCTCAAGAAGGCAAACCATTTGAAGATCCAAAATGTTACAGAAGGCTTATTGGGAGGCTGCAC